GGTTTGGAGGGGGTAGGGGCGCACCATGTCAATTTGTGTACTTTCGATTACCCGAAAGCAGAAGACATTAAAACAAATCCGCAGAGGGCCAACATGATCTACCCCTCCGTTAACTGTCCAATAGCATAATAGTATACCGTGCCTTTCCTTCTCTCTGAATCTGCATGGGCGTTATGATGAAGCTAGATAATCAATTTGTGTACGCCCAACGATTAAAATGCAAAAATCAAGAAAAAGAAGACACCTATAATTACACACTGCATGTAACGTAAGAGGCGACTAATGAGGGGAACCCCTGCAAAATTAGTGATTTGCTTCTGTGACCTTTATTTGGGGACATAAAAGCGACCAAAATTAATCTCCTGCACCCATTGCAATATTTAGGATTTATATAATTATTTGTCTCTACTACCAACTGCCTTTCATATCCTTTCGCCGTGCTTGGCAATACCTCACGTATTGCTTTTAAAGTTAAACACTCGCCCAGCTGAGGAAGGCAATCGGTCCTGTCCCCAGGCCGGGACGTACCAAAGTCCTTAAAAATGGCAGCTGTTTTTTTCTGCTTAGCGTTCAGCATGACGTGGAATAGCAACAACTGGTTCACCCGTTGTCAGAATAATGTGACCGGGTGGGATGATGTGCAGGGTTCCTTCGGCATGGTATTTCAGTGAGATAGCACTATAAAGTCGACATCAGATCCGCGCTATTACAAGGAGACTATTACACCAACATACCGTGCCTCTAGCACACATACACAACATACAAGGAGGCACATCCTTAAATGACCTTAGCTGTTAATAGGACGTTTACATGCCAGGCAGCACAAATACTGCAAAACATTTTCATCTGCTTTAGTCAAATATAGTTTGCGTACGCAGTGAGGTAGTACTGTAAAGTCGGTATAAGATGCGTGCAATGGCAAGGAAGCATATGCATCAATTCACCCTGCGGAATGCTATGATGGGTGCCTTCGGCATGGTATTTCAATGAGATAGCACTATAAAGTCGGCATTAGATCCGCGCTATTACGAGGGGGCAAGCACACCAGCATACCCTGTTTCCTGCATACACACACACAAGCAACACGCATACACTTCACACATGAAGGCACGTCCTTAAATGACCTAATATGTTACATGTAATAGGACGTTAAAAAATAAACAAAACAAAATCAGTCAATGAGTCAATTAGCTGGTCCGAAGCTACTTGAGGAATTATACTAAAATAGAGTTACATGTAGTATGATCGTCTTGTCTTATAGTTGTGTAGCTCAATATAAGTTAGATCGGGAAAGAAAAAGACCACTTGGCAATCTTGGATTTAGCATATCACGTTTGTTAACGCCAATTATCAGACAGGACTACAAAGAGTCTTGCAACGGAACATGGTATACACTAATTATTAGGCTTTTACTGTGCCCAATAAGTATTTGATCGATTTTCCGCCTGTCGTATTTCGGGCAAACCAGGACAACTTATAAAAAAATGCAATCCTGGACACCATTATTTTCTAAAAATACTAAAAGGCTAAAAGGATCATGATGAAATATAATATGCATTATCCTGCTTGATTTCAGATAGGTCGGGAAATTTGGTATGAAACAAGTCACTCAAGATCATGTATAATCTTGATGTACATGATCCCATTGGTACCTCTGCAGATGTTTGTTTAAGATAACATACAATTAAGAGAAAATATCGTATACATCACTGTCCCAGCAGGTAGAGCGTAAGAATTGTACCTGCTGCCCTATTACATGATCGTAAGAGGCGACTAAATTTGGAATCTTATCTTTTCTCTTCATTTTAAACAACTTTCTTCTTCCTAATTTCTCCCTTGACATTGCCTCACTTTTGACAATTAAAGACAGTTGAGCGTGCGCCCCTTTGAGAAAGGCTATTGGGTCTGTCCCCTGGCCGAGACATACCAGTCTGTAAAAATGGTAGTTTCTACTACTGCTTTACGCTCAGCAATTTAGGAGTGGGACGACGGGTTCATCCGTTGTCAGTATAATGTGACCGGGTGGGGTGCCCTGCTGGGTATCTTTGACAGTATGTTTCAGTGAGCTAGCACTATAAAGTTGACATCAGTTCCGCGCTATCACAAGGAGACAAACACGAACATATCGCAGCCTCCCAAAACACACACGGATGCATCTTGCACACAGGGGAGGCCGTCCTTAAATAGCTGCTGATAGGGCGTTCTTAAATGACCTTACCCGTTAATAGGACATTAAACAATACTAAACCAAACCAAACCAAACCATATACATCACAAATGTCCCACGATCTCTAAATTTCCCACTGGAATAGTTTGTATGGCGCTATTTTATAAGATTCAAAATTATACCTTGGGTTTGGTTTGGTTTAATTTTGTTTAATGTCCTTTTAACGGGTAAGGTCATTTAAGAACGTGCCTCCATGTGTGTAGTGTATGCGTGCTTGCGTGTGTCTATGCAGGAGACGGGGTTTGATGGTGTGACCTCGTAATTCATTCATTAGAAAGTCAGATGTAGGGTTTAGTCTGTGAGCATCGCCGAGCCACAATTTATCGAGAGAAGAACGTAAGTAAGACTTGATTGTTCTTTTCGTACGGTACTCTTTCACATCAGTCTTGTAATATATTAAAGGCTATATATAATACGCATCAAATTACAGAAATGCAAAATTACAAAAGAGTATTGATGCATGTGGAGTCCGAGCTTATTGTTTTCAAAAACCCACAGACAGGATTCATCATCTTGTCACATCAGGACTGATATTTTATCACAATTTTCTGTTCTTGTAATTAACTGTTCATTCAATTTCAATTGTATATTTATAAATGTATAATTTGTTCAGACCTCGAAGACGAGAACTTAACATCAATACCAATAGCGCGACTTCCATTTGAGCTTTCAGATGAAAGTGATGTTCCTACGTTTCCTCCTGTGGTCTGACTCTGTGACATACATTATACCTACTTTATCTTTAATAAATGGTACATAACTAATGTATCCCTCCATCACACACACGCATACGTTTCGCACATGGCGGCACGCACTTAAATGACCGAAGCTTCTGGTAGGAATCTAAACTATATCAAGCGAATATGACACTACCAACCCTGATTAACAAACCATTCATACACAAAATGTGCTAAGGGTGTGTTCATCGTTTGATAGTTAAAGGCTGAAATAAAATACCTTTAACCATGAAAGAAGCACTACAAGATAAAGACACTTTTACGAGGATTTTATTTCAATATCACAAATATACAGAACAAACACCAATAACACCAAGGGGAGAACAATACTTAATAATTTAAAAAGGTTGATGAGAGATGGTGCATGCAATTTTAATAAAGAACAGGCAAGAATCAGGATATCGATCAAGTTTATCAATACTGGATGACGGCAATATTCTACCAACCCTATGGAACAAACTGTTTATCGTTATGTATACCTGGTGTAATAAGTGTGTTCATCCTGTGATATTTCAAAGGAACCAATTAGTTTTTGAAGTAATTTGTTTTTAATAATCCTCACAATAATATAGTTTGATATTACATATGACAAAATTGACAAAAGACAATGTTTCTTGACGTTTTAATCAGTAATAAAGCAATCCGGTACCTTCCAATCATACGTTTAAGCGGTAGCTGCCGCTTAACGTTTAGCTACCGAAACTGTCTTTAAGAGAGGATAAATTCTCGCTTTGTTCTCGCTAGCTACTTTTGATACTTTCTTTCGTATACCACTTATTAAACCTGTTTATTTTTATGCAAATCCAAATGTGAACAGAAATATTCATTAGATTTTTGTATTATGATGGTTTTTAGTTCTTGCCTGTTATGTATTGTGGATATTCAAAGCGACACGAATATGTTGTGTGTGAAATCAGACTTATATCTGACACTGTGTGGTAGGTCGACGGCGTGGAATGTTTACTTCTCACTGAAAGACCCGGATATTGCGCTATTGCGGTCGTACTATTTTTATCACCGGTTTTCTCAAAAGATAAAACTGACAACACTGGACGTTGGCTCCAGGTCATGTCATTTTTACGTAATCTCTCGTTATATGATATATATTTTCAGTATCTACTCGATTTTTGGGGTAGTATTTGAATAAAAAGCCACTTTAAGGCTGAAATAAATTACGAGACAATATCAGATAAAATATGTTTTACGAGGATATCACTTCAATATCACAAATGGGCAACATAAATAAACACAAAACAACGGGGAAAACACAATACTTAATAATGTTAAAGGTTGGTGATTCATGAGAAAATACGTTAAATAAGGAAATTAAATCAAACGAACGGACAGGCAAAAGACAAACACCAACTTAAAAAATATAAGTGGCTATGTTAGTTTAACGGTTTTGTTTTTAAACAGACCAACATTGTTTAGAAGTGTTCAAATTGAAGATACATTTACCGTTTAGAAAAGAGTTTTAAAATTTGTTGGTTGCCTGAAAGTAAATACAATCTTATAACAAATTGTTTTACTGTAAATGGCTCATGACATGCTATATATTGGAGCTGGTCTTCACGCTTTAATAACTATAAATTGGTAATGTATGAATGAAACATCCGGAGACAGCAATGACAACATCGTCACGGTGGTTTCTCAATAACTGGGATACAATAAATCGAATCGATCATACCTGTTGATAGGACGTTGAACAAAAGAAAACCCAAACCAATCAATCCAGTCTTAAAACAACACTTTTTGCTCAGCGCACTTGACATGAAACCCGTGAAAAAAATGCAAAATGTACCATTTTATCAATTCTGCATAATTTAAAAGACGACAACATTTTTTTAAAACACTGTTGGACGAAAAAAATGCATTTAATATCTAGTTTGATGCAAAGTAGTTTCAAATATCGCAAAAACGAAAAATATGTGCACATTGAAGTAAATTCATCGTGCAATAGAATTAGAATGCAATATGGACAAATTCTTATTATCAGCTGGCTTTCTTTTCGTCTATGGCTTCAAAGCATAGGAACTCTAAACCTGTTTGAACATGTATCTGCCCAGACAGATGATATCTGGTACAACGATCACTCCGACTATCGCGGCCAGAATGACACAGGCCAGACCTCCAACGGCTACACTGCTTGGCCGAGAGTCATACACGCTGATGAGTTTACGCCTCTGAGCAGACAGATCAGTTTTGTTCACTGCCAACTGAACCCTTAAGGAATGCTGGATCTGCTCACGTTCGTGTTGGTCGAGTTTTCGTGAGTAGTTAGCATTGAAGCAGCATGTATCGCATGTATCGTTGGTACCAGATGCTGTTGTCTCAAATATTGGTTCAATTGTTGTTGATCGCATTGGGTCAATCCATCCTGAAAACAAAACAAAACACGATATAACTCTATCACGTAACTGAAGTGTTCTTATCAGTTGCTCAAAAAATATAGTGATTGTTTCTTTATATATCTAATTCAAACATATTGTCTAATGACTTTATTTTATATAATAAAGTCGGCATCAGATCCGCGCTATCATGCGGAAGAAATTACACCAACATACCCGGCATCTCCGGCACACATACACACATGCCCGCATACACAACACACATGGAGGCACGTCCGTAAATGACCTGGACGAGTTAAGTCTTCTCTTACAGATCACCGACCTTTGTGGCCAGATTCGTATAAGATCTTACACATAGTATTAACAATTCCTTATCAGTGACGCTAATATAAAAAAAAATTGTCAATGTTCAGATTTCGCTGCATTTATCAAAATAGGTAATGAATTCAGGAATCACTGTGACTCTTCATGCCAATGCTATGAGTATTTTTCAAAACACTAAAATATTAAAATGAAAATTGGTCCTGACCCATTACTGTTGCAAATGAAAATGTGTTCCATTCATGTGTGGACGACGTATATTCGGAAATGCAGAAATTGTGAACCAATTAAAATTGTAACGACATATATTAAAGTGCCCCGACCCCGAAATCGATCTGGTAATAAGTCCGAAATGAAGTTACAAATTCTATTGAAAATATATGTGTATAAAATGTCCTCGTGCATTTACTTTGAACTTCGCTTAATTTGTTTTCAGGTGAGTACTGAGGCTGTGTTATAGATTCCTACCTATCCCTGAGCAGTTCGGTAGTTGTCTGTATTTTTCAACCAATTCCATCCCTGTACGAGGAGATGCTTTAATATCGCCATTGGCCTATATTCGGACAGTCTTATAGCATTGCCATGTCATCATTGTTTAGGTGAAATGTTTTTTTATGTACTAAAATGTATGTGTAAATTCTTATATTTCAACTATGACTATATGTTGATGGTTTGTTTTCACGGATGGTAAAATATTTAAATAACCCTTTAAAATAAACGAAAAATCGCATGATTTAGAGAAATTTCCTTCATTCACAGTTGAAATATGCATGTGTTGGGAACCTTACCTTGATTTCGTTCGGTTGAAAACCTTATAATTTCTCTAATAAAAGTAGTATTTACCCATAAGTAGGTGTATATGTCAACCAGGCAGAATGGGAGATCTTTACTATTGAAAAATCTATTTTCAGGATACGCTAACAAAAGAAGTATATCACTACGGGCACCAAATATAAATTGTTGTTTGGTTTGGTTTTATTCTGTTTGACGTCCTATTAACTGCTAATGTCATTTAAGGACGTGCCTCCATTTGTGTTGTGAATGCGTGCTTGTGTGTCTGTATGCAGGAGGCAGGGTATGTTGGTGTATTTGTCTTCTTGCGATATGATGCCGACTTTTGAGTTCAAAATTAGTTCAATGTTCAGTGCCGAAGTATTTACCAATTTCACATATTGCTTTACATCTCATTTTACACTTGCTTGTCCACATCCAATTGTTCTGCAGTCGAATACACCGATCCCATGGGCATGCATTGGGCTCTGAGACACTGTTTGACCATCTAGCCCATCCATCATATACCCATGTTGTCATGTCCCCAGTTGTGTGGCACTGAACAGTGTCATCAAACCTCAAGCCAGTCCAATACCACCCTGCACTCCTTGAAAGCAATTACAGATATGTAGATACATGTAAATGTAAAACAAAACTAGTGATTTGTTTTGTGAAGAAAAAAAACCGTATGTCTCCCCTTAACCAGTTTAAAAGTTATGGCCCGGGCAAGATATCCCTGAAAACCGTTTTGATCTTTGACCTCGAGGTCAAAGTCACAGTGACCTAAGACAGTGCATTGTACATCGTTTCTGGGTGATCAGGATAATCAGGATATATTTAACTTAACACTTGTTTGAAATTATTATTACAGGAACTACCTACTGCTAAAGTATGCAATCCATATATGAACAAATTCTAATTGTAATGGGGACCAATCAGAAGTCTGCAAAACTGACCCCATAGTCGCAGAAACAAAATTGAGGGACCGTTGGCATCACCCTGGTGTAAACCTTTAGATATTTGAAACTACGACCTAATGACACTTCAATGCATACCATATGTAGGTGATAAAGTTATACTGCAAGTTTCATCAATATATCTTTAACGGTTGAAAAGTTGAAGCTCGGACAAATGTTCCTTATAAAAGTTGCACATATTTTTGACCTTTTATCTTGGAACCAAGATCACAATGACCTCATGACAGTGTACTGCACATCGTCTGTGGGTGATGCATGTTTACTGCAAGTGTCATCAATATATCAGCTTAAAAGTTACGGCATGGACAAGGTCATATAAGAAGAACCAGTATCAATACAATAAGTCTCCCTTCATTCGCAGAGGTTAATGAAGGGGAGATATAATAAATGTGGGAATTATGTAATGATGGTTTGAAAACACATTCTACACAGGATAACATTTTCCTCAACTTGATTTTCAGACTCTGTTTGTATTGCCGATATCAGTGTTAATTCTATTTCTAGTTGCTTCCATTTAATACTCGTCGTATTGCGCATATAATTGTATAACGTTCAATTTTTTTATCGGTTGGATCTTATTTGATATTAACAAAATAAATGTACATGGTTTCCCTTAGGTCCTTATTAGTCCGTTACCGGTGAAACCGGAGGGACTGTGGTTTTCCTCTCCGTCCGACTGTGTACGTACGGTCGTACGTACGTACGTAACATCAATGTTTGCCAGCGCTCTAGCGACTTCATTCCTTGAATGATGTTGATCAAACTTCACACAATTACAAATGACCATAATATCTCGGACATATTCGAAATAGCATGTAAACATTATGGATTAGAAACATTAGGATACCTACAGACAAAAAATAACTTTCAAGTGCAAAGGGCCATAACGCTGTTAAAAGGGCAATAATGATCTGAATTAAACTGGATAAGTAACACGTTAATACACATTGGTGATGATATTCACGTCTCTTAATCACCCTTACTAGTAATTGATTTAATACCTGAAAATCAACAAAGTATTACAATCATTTCTATTTTATATAATTCCTCTGTCATAATACTAACATTACAATTTTTTGTATTATTATTACATTTTTCCAAATTAACACCAAAGAGACCCATTTTTATAAATCATTACAGTGTATTAGCTAGCGGGGGCTATTTTGTTTCTATTTAGTTTTTTATTCTAATAAAAAATATTCTTACAGATTGTTGCTTTTGTATTTGTCGTGAGTATTGTAGAAGTTCCACTTTTCCTGACTATCCAGTACAATGAGGCGTCCGTTCTTTGTCTGACAATACTTTCTGGCGTCTTCCCATTTGAAAATGTTTCGACTTACATGCAGATCCATGAACAGAGGTGATCCCTCTGAAAAAAAGAGGACCGCGAATAAAAGCAGGCACCCTTAAGACACATTTTTTTTTAATTTCTACAATTTTGCATATGATGTATTCTGTTTCAATGTTTTAAAATATTCAATAGTTCGTCCACCCTGAATGACCCATTGCATATTAGTCTGCAGCAATATGTCTTTGCTGATTCTGTTATTGACTTGCATTATCGGTAATGATCCTGTACAGATTTGGGGGGAAAAGACAAAGGGAAATAATGTAATCCTTCTTCATATGATATTGGCTAATTTGTGTATGTTAAAACGTTTATCATGTGACTATGACTAATTCGGTTGTAACCATGACACAATAACACTATACTATTGATTTATTAAAAGTCACTACGGTCTCATGGTTGAAATGGAGCTTGCACTATCAAATATTTATTTTAAAATGAAATCGTTTGGAGAAGATTGGAATAATAAATGTAACATGATGTTGTTGTTCTTACACCCTAGTGTCAGACAAACGGCTGCCCAAGAAGAAACTATGGGATCGATGGTGAACGTCGGAGAGAAAATAAAATGATAAATGCCATATAATGTAAATGTCGTAAAGGGGGCACCAAATCAATTTCAGTTCTTTCAGTTTCTCCAATTTTGCAGGGGGGCCACGAAAAAGTATTCCTCATATAAAATTCTAATCATGGTGATTTTATTGGTTTACGCGACTTGTTTGGAACTACGACACGCCTTTCAACCATGTTTGATTTGGAAGCAATCGCATGAAATAGGGATTCATAACTGCACAAATGGAGATACTGATCCCCGGGTATCTTATGGACGAGACCATGGGGATTGTTATACCACATTCCCTTAAGGATGTACTCTTCTGAGGTTTCAATAACGTTCAAGTCTCGTTTTGATCTGGTGTAACGGGTTTTTGTAATATTTAACAGAAAATACCAATTCGGCGGCCATTTTGAAAATGAGTGTAACCTGGTAAATACTAGCCGCAATATATTGCTCGGCTATAGAGAACTTCTCTTTAGCTCGATCGGTTGAGCGTAAGAATAGTAAGCCGGAGGTCCCGGGTTCGATCCCATGCGCTGGCAGTGATTTATATGTAATTAATCATTCGCTCTGTTACATGAGTATTAATGTGTATTTCTTGGGCTTCAAAAAAGGCAAAAAATTCACCTTTTTTGACACTAGATTGATCACTTAAGTTGTCATTGTGTCGCCATTTTTAATTTTAGCAGGTTCAATTTTGCTGTACAACTTTATAATGTTTAATATGATAAAAAATAATATGCAACAAACTGGAAATTATACATTATTGATATGTGTTTTTTTTACATATTTAGTGTAACTGAAGCACTTTTGATTTTTGGCCCCGAAAATGGTAAAAAAATAACACAAATGATAATGGGACAAAAAAAGAAGCACACCTACCCCCCATTTTGATGGATGTTTTAGAAAGAGAACCACATTTTCTTTTAATTCATTAAATATTAAAAAAAAGTTTACAACCAGATCTTTTTATATCAAGCGTTTAATCTGCAAAAAATCTGAGTTAAAAGAATAAGATTAAGAAATTTTACTTCCATAATTTAAAAGAATATAATATTTTTATCAATTCTACAAACATTCATACATATCTGATAACACACTTGAAAGATATTGTACGAATTTGTTCCGCAAATGGTCAAAACCCAAAAAATCACCTAAAATCACATGTTGTGATAAATTGGTATCTTTGACCGATCATAGCACAAAAACGAACACACCGACATATAGTTTTTTTTGCATTTTCTACTATGCCATTAACTCCTTTTTCCAAAAATCCATATAAGAAAAAAGAAAAAAATACAGGAAATTTTTGACTTCTCATAGGTGTACATCCTTAAGCCCATTTTTCTCTGGAATAATGAGATCAATATCCACTATATCTGGTTTGGAAAAATTCTCCGCTGGTTAGGATTCAAAAGTGAACAAATAGAGGGACTCACCTCCTGGAAGGCAGAGAGACGGGACCAAAGACTATAAGTCCGAACTAGGGATTTTCCGGATCACAACTTTCCAACAGTTGAGATCCCCAACCTGTAACCATGTTTATTGCTGGTTGTATAGAGTTAAACGTCCTATCAACATATAAGTCTATTTAGGACGTCGGTAACCATTTATAAAGGAAATGACATCAAACAAAAAAGGATTAAAAGTCAAATATCAACTTGAAAAGCAAAAGTGGCCGTGGTTATTTCTTTTTGAATAGATCAACAGCTTTCAGGTAGGATAGATTCGAATTGTTGAAATATTTACTGTTTCGAAGAGACATGAGATTTTTTATATCAGAATAAAAAAAAATCTCGTGAAGGCTTAAGGTAAATGCAATCTAATAACAAGCACTTTAACGTAAATGGTTCGTGATATGCTACATATTGAGGTTAGTCCTGGCGATTCAATGAATGAGAGTGGATATTGTAATGGGATAGCATTCACCGATTGTGGGTTTTACAGAGTATTATGTCTTGTCTACGCATCGATTCCAATTATTTTGCCGTTTTGATTTTACAAAATATGTTTAAAATGGTTTAAAATCAGTAAATGAAGTTTAAAATCTACAGGTGGTAGCAATAAAACTCCTTTCATAGCTCTATTTATCATTTGATTACCTGATATTATCACATGTCGGGAAACACAACATAATGTGATTTGACATTTTGAGGTAATACTTTGTAATATTGTTAGTATATTTCTAATTTGAAGTATTCTTCAGTTTTGTTGCGAAGGCTCTGTAGAACAAATAAGGAGTCGGAATAGATGACTGACATACGTACATCATTGGCTCCAATGTGTTTAAGTGTAAATAGCGAGGTCTTCCGCCGAAAATATTAATGCATCCTTTGGTAACTGGAATCCCAGAAGAGCATATTTTGCAAGCGTGTCTGCGGTGACCTTATGATCATTTATGACCCAAGTTAATCTATAGTTCACATGTATTAAATTCTTAATAGTATACTAATATACTATAGTACTTTGACCATTTTCAAACATTCCTGTTTTTTGTATTTTTACATTAGAAAGTTATTCTTACCTCGCAGCAGAGAATTAAAGACCAACATCAATACTACGAACTCCATTTGTTGTCATGCTCAGTTGCTGTGATGGAAGTGGTATACATGAAACTACCTTTTCCCCAGTATTCTGACGCTGTGATTAACCATTAACCTTGCTTATATTTAATATATACATGTACAAAAATGTACTACGTAATGTATAATATAAGTTATTGTGCTCCTAAAAGCACTTCCACCCCGTCAAAGAACCAACTACAGCACACACAAACGTACTCATTTCGCAAATGGAGTCACATACCTAATTTACATTTGCTTTTAGTAGAACGCTAAACCTTTCAAACCAATACGAAACTATTTTACATGCCATTTCTAATTTTCAAAATGACTTGTTTTTACCTTTTTCGCTCTTTGGGCCATTAAGATTTCAATAGCTAGCAATTTCAAAGAACCTAGTAACAAACCGGGTACACGTTGTTTTCAGGTGTGCTAGTGTATAAATACTAGCAAAAAACAACAGGAAGGTCACAACTGTGTAATTATAGCCGACAAGGATATATCCCCCGCTTCATCTTATATAGGGACTTACTTTCTGGTAAATATCTTTGAAATGTTTTAGATCCCTACCCAATAACCATATATGTTCATTTGATAGGCATAAAGATAAACATACAGTCATGATATTATAATTGACCAATGGGTCTGGTTCCACCCCTTTGAACCCAATTCCTGAGACAACTTTTAAACGCTTGAGATCCACACCCCATAACGATATATACATTTGATAGGCATAAAGAAATAAACACAGTAATATTTAATAATTGATCCTTGGTCTGGTTCCATCCCCAACCCATAACCATGTATACCATTGCTGGTATCAAGAGACGAACACAATCATGATATCAGTATTGTCCCTAAGGCCTGACCCCACCCACTCCAAAAGACTTAACTTCTTGGACATAACCATTGAAATTGTTAAGATCCCTACCAAATCACCAGATATTCATTTGATAGGCAAAAAGAAAGAAAGAAAGTCATGATTTTATAATTGACCGACTTGGGTGGCGCCTACCTTTAGAACTTCATTTTTTGGCTTTAACTTTGAAACGGTTGAGATTCCCACCCTTTAACGATATATACAATTGATAGATATAAAAAAATTAACACAGTCGGTTTTATCAATGACCCTAGGTCTGGTTCCATCCCCGTGGGACCTAATTACTGGGTAAAAACTATAAAATGGTTGAGATTCCCACCCCATAATCATGTATACCATTGCTCGGTACCACGAGGCGCACACAATTGTGATATTAGTATCGACTCTTTGGGCCCCAGGGAGTTAATTTCTTGGGCCATATATCGTTATATACCATTGCAGGGCATACAGATAAAAGTGAGCGATATAGGCCCTCTTTGCCTCTTGTTTTATCAAAACTTGAAGATTTACTGGAATATCCGGACTGTTGTACTTTCATCTTTTATCTTTTCTCTTCTTTCTAAACAACTTTCTTTTTCCTAATGTTTCCCTTGACAATGCCTTACTTTTGGCCTTTAGTTGAGCGTTCGCCCCTGTGAGGAAGGCTTTTGATTCTGTGCCCTGGCAGAGACATACCAGAGTCTGTAAATTTAGGAGTGGGACGACTGGTTCGGCCGTTGTCAGTATAATGTGACCGGGTACCTGGTGTCCTGCTGGAAGTCTTCGGCAGTATGCCTCAGTGAGGTAGCACTATAAAGTCGGTATCAAACGAGACAAACACGAACATATCGCAGCCTCCAAAAACACATACGCATACACTACACGCTTGCACACAAGGGAGGCCGTCATTAAATGACCATAGCTGTTGATATGACGTTAAACAATACTAATCCAAACCAATCTTTCCCTCAGAGATGGCCTTAAATGACCTTATTTGTTAATAGGACTTTAAAACCTATCAGATCAAAATCTTTACGAGTTCCCTTTGGTCACCCCTTTCTTAATTCAACATTCTAATCCTCATCGTCTTAGCATCAGTTCATGAAAATGTTGTGAAAATCCTTGGATGAACTAAATTGTTAACTGGTGACGTTAAAGAAATTCATCCTTAGCCAATAAACATATATGAGAACTGCAGGTAATTGCCATTGTAGTGTTTCCCGTTACACAGTTTACACCTGTGAATGTCGGGTGAGACTAGTGAAGTATTTATGTGTACCGTTTCGACGATTTTAGTACAGTATGCATCAAACAACTTAAAATAGCCGTTATGCAAAGTCACGGGATTAATAATGTAGAAGGCGGCGATCGAATCTTGCTATATCGATGTAGATTCAGAATGCTAAGAATCAGCCCATGGTATTTGATATTTGCGTTGTCAAAATAATACACATGTTCTCGTGGTTTACCTGTAATGTATAGTAAACACATGTTTCGTTAAGGATCCTAGTTTTGCTGCTATACGCACTATTAAGTCGGCATCAGATCCTCGCTATTAGAAGGAGGCAACCACACAAACATACCCTGTCTCCAGCACACATACACACGTGTTGGTATACACAACGCACATGGAGACACGTCCTTAAATGATGATAGGAATTTAAACAAAATAAAACTAATGCTGCTGCTATTCAGAATTCCGCTGTTAATTTTCCTGTATACAGTTACCTTCTCGGTTTAACTATAGCGCTACTGGGACGAGGACACTGCTATTGCTTGGTGGGTGAATGCGACAGCATAATGATCTGAGGTCAACGGTACAATGCCTGATCTAGGCTCGCTGTATTTTTAGCCAAACACTTGAAGCTGGAAGCATGGTAGTCTAGTGGTTGCGGGTTCGAATCACGTCACGGCATTGTGTTATTTCTTTGAGCAAGATACTTTAATTCGCTTGTTCAGTCTACTCCGCTGTAAATGAATACGTGCTAGAAATGCTAGATGTGAGCCATATGTACATCAAACGATCAAACTAGTCTTCTCGTCTCATCTTCAAGGTGCTGCACACTGATTTTGCTATGACATATTCCAGGGGTGCAGAGGGCGAAAGTTAGCGTAACCCCTGGATATCGGGTTTGGGCTGGCATGTTGAAAACACTCTCAACACGATCAAGACAAGGCCACTAACCCGTGATATCAACTAACGAAAGCCGAAAAACTCGATGACGTCGTCAAAACCTGCAAGCTAGATATCAACTAACGTAAGCCGAAAAACTCGAAAAAAACATCATCATAAAGAGGAAAAATTTAAGAAAAAATGTTATTTATTGTATAGAATACCAAACACAGTGTGACATCAACAGNCCCCCATATCGCCACCTATACTACTATTATGTTCGTCAACTTGTGAACAAACAAATTTAAACTGTTGAATATCTTGTTTCATTAACTGCTGAACTGCTTTCCCATTGATGAACGTTACACATTTAATATTTAACACAAAGAAGAAGATGAGAGCCATTTACGAAACTTAGGGACCAGCCGCGGAGTTACAGACCTGGAACTGTTACTACACTACAGAGTTGGCAAAGCCAGTGAGGAAAGAGGTAGACTAGTCATAGCCGAGATAGGTAGTAGAAGCCAAAGAAAAGAGCTACTCCAAAAAGCAAGAACAATAGCGAGTAAGGGTAGCACTAATTAAAAAAGAGTGATCCTGCTACGGGATCTAACGAAGGTACAACGAAAAGAACTCCAAGACAAAAGGAAAAAGGGGACACGAAACAAACAAGGTAACCCAGACACACCTATGGAACCACAGAGTACACATCCGAAAAGTCCAGGACAGCCAATGTCGACAGACCACAACGATGCAGTGGATGTCACACCCAGAAACTGGAGCCCAGAACAAAATGCTGTGATACCAGCCAACCTCGTTCGACCTCCATCGAATCAAGAACCCATGTTCGATCAGGAAGAAACTGTAATTGGAGGGCTGCTGACCCAACATGTTCAAGAAGCTAGATAGAATCCTGTTTTTAGCCATGCACATGTGGATGGATTTTCCATATTTTACTCAAATGTTGACACCTTAACCACATCTAAATTAGTAGAATTAAAAGCCATCGTAGAGGAAACAAGCCCGGACATAATTCATCTTACCAAAATACTTCCCAAAAAGGTCCAATTTGAGCCATGGTCTATCTCCTACAATATTGAGGGTTACAACCAGTTCAATAATAGTTTGGATTCGAACAGCAGGAGAGGAATTATAGTTTATGTCAAAAATAGTATTAACTGTGTGTAAGTAGAAAACCTACAGTACGAGGAATCAGTCTGGTGTTCAATTAATCTAGAAGGAAATGACTCCCTGCTCACTGGATGTATATATCGCAGTCCAAATAAATCTACCAAGAATTGGTTACACGCATCCGAGAAATCTATAACACGAAACCATCTCATATATTGATCACAGGAGACTTTAACCCCAAGGACATCGACTGGATAACATATATACTAGCGGAAAAAAGAAACTGTACATGCGGAGAATTGTTATAGAACATGTATTACAACTGTATATATATGAAAATTCACACACATGACCGAGTATGACACATACACACTATCCGTGTGTCATTGACAGTTTTTCCCGTGCAGCTTGCTCTCTATAGGCGTTGACCAGTTTGCACGTGTTCTCGTCCAGCCATCCAATTCGACAATGAAAGTTTATTTTTCAACTGTTGGGTCACTCTGTTGAGACCACTGAACAGTAAAAACAGCATTATAGCGTTTTAATTTGTGATTAATGCTATGCCGAGGCTCAATGAAAATGACCGCCTCCGGATTATTGGTTTGCTTCAAGCTGGTATGGGCCAAGCCGTTGTCTCTTCACGTTTTCCTGTCCATCGAAACAATCCGGGATTTGTGGAGACGACATCAACGTTTGGCCAGGTCGGCGATCGACCTTGTGCGGGACGTCCACTTGTGACGTCACGTCAACAGGACAACCATATTCGGCTTGTCCATTTGAGAAATCGCTTCCAAACGGCAAGTTTGACTACACGGACAATCCCTGGGTTGCTACCAATAAGCCCGAGAACTGTACGGAACCGATTGCGTGAACAAGCTATCCGTCCGCGACGTCCTGTAATCCGCCCAGTTCTTCTGCCACGTCATCG